GTACATCCGATTTAATGGAAAAGCGTAACTGGCCGTGAAATGGTGCAAATCTGATATTATTTTTTTATCATTTTTTTAATAAAAATTATCTGTGTATATACATCTTATGTATTACTACGAATCTCTTTATTACATCTTCATCTTACATTATGAAGAGCTGCAGTTTTGCATAAAGAACCCAAGCTGGAAAGTACTAGGCTTGCCGATGCGATCAAGTTTTTTTGCACCAGGCTTGAAGTACTCAACTCGTTAACTGTATGAATGGTTGTTGTTTTACACCTACCTTTTGCGCTCACCACCGCAAATCATCGTAAATTTTGCACAAGCGAAAATAAACAATTTCCGTTTAGCGATCGTTTTTTGAAAATGACTTAGCCACGTCATATAGAATATCAACTCGTGTTGGAAAATGACCCATTTTTGCTAAATTTTCGTATTTAGCGAGTGATTAGACACCATTCAGAACTATTTCCACTTAGCTGAACAAATCATGCATGGCTTTGTACATTTTCAATTAGTTGTGTACTTTCTCGTTGCTTTAGCATTCAGTAAAAAAAAAGAACCATATCAGCTTAGCTGTTTTTGCATTATTTCTTAAAACTTGAGAGAAATAAGTGTTTATTTTCGTTTATGCAAAATTTACGATAATTTACGGTATTGAGCGCAAAAGGTCGATATTTAATAATTTTTGGCGCCTGGGCACTTCATTTTTCCGCACAAAAACTGAACCATATAGTGTTAAAGTGAATTATGACGCAGTGATTTTGCTTTGTAAAAACTTTCAGGTTTATTGCTTCAAAAAATAGGTTTTTGGCAGTAGTATTTTTGGAATAACGTGTTTTTTTGAAAAAATTGAATTTTATGTTTTTGAAAAGCCTATCATTAATTTTTTTGGAAAGCTTATTATTCATAAATTTTTTTCAAAATTTGCCAATTTCTTCAAAAATAATAACCGATTGTGTCGAACAGCCTGTTTACACGTGTAATTTTTCAGAGGTCATTGGATGGACGTTTACAGGTAGCCGGGAGGAAGGGTGTCCCGCATGTTGTTTATGCGCGTATTTGGCGATGGCCTAATGTAAATAAGAATGAGCTACAGAAATTGCCAATCTGTGCTGTTGCACCGGATAATCAGGTATTTTTTGGGCAGTTATAGCAATAATAAAAATAAAAAAAGATAATTTTTATCAAAAAAATTTTTTCGGTTTTTCCAAAATTTGCGAATTTTTCCAAAATTTGCTAATTTCTTCAAAATTTCCGGTATCTTTTGGGCAGTTACAGCAATAATAAAAATAAAAAAAAGGATATTTTTATCAAAAAAGTTTCTTCGATTTCCCCAAAGTTTGCGAATTTTTTTAAAAATTGTCAATTTCTTAAAAATTTCAGGTATCCTTTGGACAGTGATAGCAATAATAAAAATAAAAAAGGAAAATTTTTATCAAAAAAGTTTTTTCGATTTTCCCAAAATTTGCCATTTTTTTCAAAATTTAAAATATCATTATTGTTAAAA